CTCTCTCCCTCTCTCTCTCTCTCTCTCTCTCTCTCTCTCTCTCTCTCTCTCCCTCTCTCTCTCTCTCTCTCTCTCTCTCTCTCTCCCTCTCATAGATGGTGTCCATCTGTTTGGCCAACGCGCTTTTCAAAACAAGACTTAATGTCCCAGGTCGCAGGTTTGAAGTCCATCAGATGAAATCTCGAGTACAAGGGTGCAAAAGTATGACCCCGTAACTGTGCCAAAACGAGCCAAAAATGTCAATTCAAATACTCACAGCTCATTTATAGCATATGGCTAACTCAAAGATGTATTTTGTGGGGGGTCCTACACTTGCCTTCCAATTTTCGTAGCCCGAGGTCAAACTGGGGTAGGGCTCCGTTAAACCTCTGTCCACTGCCCGATGTGTGTGTTCATGTTGAGGCCCTCCAAAGTGATCGGGGAACTGGGGAGCATGAATTAAATGTGAAATATTTGAGTCTCATAGGTAGAAGTCAACAAGCTCCTCTTTCATTTGGAGATCATAAAAAATAGGTTAGATTTGATGTATTTCTGGATTGGTTTTGTGCGTCATGACGGAGGGGCTCGGGTTGTTTTACTTTTTAAAAGAATTCAACACAGCATGAATGGCTAAAGCGTCGGCAACAAAAGTGAATCCACCCATTGGTGAGAATGTCCAACTTCGCCATTTGACCTCCCTGTTCCGTGTGACATGTTAGTGTTCCAAGGTCTCAATGAGAAAGGGCAGCAAGTGTGTTGAATTTGACTCTCCCTCATTCTGGTCGCTGAAACTTCAAGATGATATGCCCAGTGGGTGAGGACTTTAAAAGGACCTGGGATTCAAAAGGAAGGTGCAGCGTCCTGCTGTCATGCGAACGAATGACCGTCGTTGCTCACACGTAGCGATCCAGGGAAACCATTTCCGCGGATCGATATCTGATTAACATTCCTAACAGAGGCTTCCGAAAGTCTCTTGGATGGCCTCGAGGAGAGGAAAGGAAGCAGAGCCTCTCTTTCCCACCTCCTCTCTGGCCTCCAGGTTGGCGGAGCGATTCCAGACGAGCGCCGCGATACGTCTTCACTTTGCCGCTGACAGTTTGACGAGTCCGTTTGAACTCTAATGTGTAAAACCTTCCCCGATGACCACCGGCGATGAGACCCCGCCTCCACCCCCACTTGGAGCCCAGCTAGCATGCAAATACGACTTTGATGCTTCGACTCATTAGCTGTGATAATGGCGGATGTTTACAAATGTGAGTTGACAGACAGATTTTCTATTTGGAAATAATCAGCCCCTGCAGGACTAAATCAAGAAATCGCATCAAGAGAGAGTTGAAAGCTGATTCCTTGGGGCACTGACAATGAACCAAAACAATCCGAATATGACTAGGGGGGGGGGGGGGGTCACAAAAACCAAAAAAAA